CTGTTAAATAATTATTTAAGTAAGTAGGCTTCCAGACAAAGCATGGAAATTATGTAGTGGGTACTAATCAAGAGCAAAAATAGGAAAAAAATGTAATATGGACCAGAGAATTACTGTAATAACTGGGCATCGCAAAAAATTCTGAAGAATGTAATGCAAGAAAAGGTGTAGGCATAATGGGTGATGTATGTGTATAAGTGTGAGTGTGTCTTTACAATAGCCAGAAACTGGAAGAAACCTGAATGCCGAAGAACAGATGACTGGTTAAAGAAACTTTGGTACATCTACACAATGGAGTACTATGTAGCTCTTAGAAAAGATGAAGTCATGAAATTTACATACAAGTGGTACAACATGGAAAGTATCATGCTAAGCGAAATGAGTCAGAAAGAGAGGGATAGACATAGAAAGATTGCATTCATCTGGGGGATATAAAGTAACAAAATATGAGATTAATACCCAAGAATAGCTGAGATCAGCACCAGGAGGATTACTCCATAGCTTAGTGGCCAGTCGGGCATTCTAGAGGAAAGGGCAGCTCAGATAGAGAAGGGAACACCAAATAAAGGGTGTTTGGAGGATCCTCCCAGGAGGGGAGATGCATGTCGAAAGTGAACTATGGACTGAACATGTTTGCCACTCAATGCCTCTTTTGCAGACCACAACACCCAAAAGGAGAGAGAGAACACAGGGGATTGCCCTGCCACAGAGGCAGGGGGGGATGAGGGGATGGGGGTGGGGGGGATATTATCCATGGTGGTGGAAAATGGGCACTGGTGGAGAGATGGGTTTCTGATCATTGTATAATCAAACCCAAGCACAAAAAATTGTAAATCTACAACTGTACCTCATGGTGTTTCACTAATAAAAAAAAATTTTTAAAAAAAGTGTGAGTGCGTGTGTGTGTGTGTGTGTGAGTACAGTAGTGGTATGTGCTTGTCATTCTAGGTGCTTTTAGTCTATGCCTATTTATAAAAATTAAAATACTAAATATTATCCTAATAGCTATGGGTAGCAAATTGGGGGACTTTTGTCTATTATAAAACAAAGTGCAAGATATAGATGATAGCACAATTAACCATATTGATGTTTTTCCTTTACTTACAACCATCTTGAGTGTCCAGGTTTCACCTTCATATCGCATGTCTGAAAGTTAATATAATACTCTAAATTTCAAATCCCCCCCATCTCAGGAAGAACAAATGCAATATGATCTACTGAGTCCTTAGATTTCCCTTTTATTCAGGAGGAAATATTCCTCTAATTTCCATCTTCAGCTTAGTAAACAGAAACAGTGCGGGAAAAAGCTAGAAAACAGTATTTTATGTCTCCAGCCTTCATGGTAGAAGAAAGGGAAGATGGATATGAGGCACTTTATATAGCCAAAAGTGTTACCTGCATCCATTCCTTTTTGCTATTCTATTATCCCCCCTTTTCCCAGAAGATTCTTTACATGGAACACCATCAACCCTAAAAAACGATAACTGCAGTAATTGCATTCAGCAGAAATTTCAAGGTTTTTGTATGTTGTATGGCTAATTGAGTCAGGTCAAGACCATTTTCCATAATGGTCCTGTATTATACATTTTGAATCCAACAAATTGAACATGTGATTGAATACACACAGATTGAGCTGTCCTCTGGGAAGGTCACTTGTGTAAAGATTATAAAATAGTAGATATCAGGAACTGTGTTCTTATGTGTCTCTGTTTTCTCTGGACCTTTCGTTGGGCAGCATCCAGTCATAACATTGTCCTGCCATTCACCTTCTGAAACCGGAACTGATTTCAATAATGTGTTTCCATGTCTTTCTTTTTATACCTCCTACTCTCTATGTAGACAACTTACATGGTATTCAGTTACTTTGTTCCATATGTCTGAGGTTTAATTATAATCCGCACTGCTAGGAAGGGATGTTAAATCACAGAAGTCTGTCAGAGATTTCAGGCACAGCATAAAATGTTTTCATATCCACCTTCCCTCCAGTTCAGATTTATATTAATGGCAATAATTCCTTAGGAAGCTTCTCTGAATAGTACCAACCACTGAGAATAAAAGAAAGATAAAATATAAATTGCCTTCAATTGGGAATAGCTGTTTTTAAACTGCCTGAATGCAAACTTACTATTCTCATTTCAATCTCATGGCAAAGATTTTATTTATCACAAAGCAATAAAACTTATCTTATTCAACTTATCTTTTTTTTCCATGGGTGGAGCACAATTTGAACTGTTTGGGTACTGCTCCCAACTCTGTGCTACTGGCAGTGTATGGGGTAATGCTATGTGGGTGATAAACCCCGGGTCAAATACCTTAGCTTCTGTACTATCTCTCTGAGACCAACTTACCTTTTTTGAACAAGAAGAGATTAATTTTTCTACCACAAAGCTAGAAATTCATAAACTAAACAAATTGGCATGAAACAACTAAAAATACATTGAAAGAAGGCCACTTACAATAAACAAGGTAAAAGACACATAATTTTTTTTTAAAAAAAAGGCATTTGTTTAGCAAAAACTAAATATGTTGCACATTTAAATAGGAAAATTTAAAAATGTGTTCCTAATTTACTTAAGAATATTCAGAGCTATTGTGTATGAGAAATGGTGCAGAGGGTAGGGTGTTTGCTTTGTATCTAGCAGGTGATCCTGCTTTAATCCCTAGTATGGTCTAATGTGACCCCAAAACCAAGCACCAAAAAACAAAAGAATGCTCAGAGATTCTGTTTAACTGATTTTCTATTTTGCTCACTTAATAGATTCTCAACTCCTGAGGGGTAAGAGCTAGTCCATAGTGTTTTCATATACCTACTCAGAAGTTTAGAAAATGGTTTAGATGGAAATAAATACATGAACATATAATTAATGTCGTAGAGGTACCTACATATCTAAATATTAATATATGCATCGACACGTTGTGGTCTCCACAAACTCCACACATTTGGCCGTGAAAATTGGGCTGCAAACACATCCACAGGAAGTTCTTTGTCCCATGCTTTACTAGCCTACTTGTGTGTCCCACAAGATTTCTCTCCTAAAATTAATTCCATAATGAATTTTTGTGTTGTTTCACCTTAAATGTCTGTTTAGACTTAAAGATTTGCCAAATTTTATTTCATAGTCCTTGATGTTAAGGTATATTTGATAATTAATCTCCATGGCCAACCCGAGTTCGATTCCTCCGCCCCTCTCGGAGAGCCTGGCAAGCTCCTCGTGACGTATTCGATATGCCAAACACAGTAACAACAAAGTCTCCAATGGAGACGTTACTGGGCCCGCTCGAGCAAATCGACGATCAACGGGAGGGCCTTTACCTTACCTTTTACCTAATCTCCATAATCTGGCCATTCACACTGGTCAACGTAAGTCTTGGTTTCTAGCTCTCTATTTCCTGAACAAGGAATTTCTATGCACAAAGTGTCCTAATATGCTGTGATAATTGGAAGCTTCAATTATAGGAAGAAACAGATACTTCTAATTGGGATCATATTTGACAAGATTTTTCTTACTAAGTCCACATTGAAAGTTAGAGTTCTGTGTAGTCATTCAACATCCACATTCATGATATCCTCACTCAAAATTTTAGAATATTTATTATTATTACCAAATTTTTTTGAGGGGAGCACACCTAGCAGTGCTCACAGGCTGCTACCAGCCATTTGCTATGAGGCCATCCTGGCAGCTACTCAGGAGACCACGTGGTACCAGGGATCAAATCTAGGTCTCTGGCATGAAAAGCACATGTACCAAATCTTTGATCTGTTTCCCCAGTGCCTAGTTTTCATTTTAATTATCAAATTTTTCATAATTTATTTTAAATATCAATACAAAGACATTAACATAATACAGTCATGATGAACAGATACAACAAATTATTTATCAAATCCAATCCCAGAGTCTGCCATGTGCATTTGTTTTGTTTTGGGGTCACACCACATGATACTCAGGAGTTACTCCTGGCTCTGCACTCAGAAACTACTCCTGGCATGCTCAGGGGACCAAATGTAATGTTTGGGATTCAACCCAGGTTGACTGCATGCAAGGCATGCAAGTCCTAACCCTCTGAACTATAACTCCTACCCAATATGGACCCTTTAAAATAAAAATTAGATAATCTATTAGCTGTATTCAGCTAAAGTAAAATTTTGTTGAAATAAGCATATTCCTTCAATTACCCTTATCTCACAAGAGTTGGATTTTATTAGCTATAATATTATGAACAATTGATCAACAGTAAATAACTAAATTAGAAAGTATATTTTCATTCCTCTTTGCTTAGATTTTTGTGCTTGAATTTTTAGTTGAATCATGAGATAATTTTTTTAAATAATCATGAGATATCACGATGAGATCACTTGATCACTTGACTTCCCGTTAATCATCGATTTGCTTGAGTGGGCTATTGCTCCAGTCCAATTCTTAGATTTTTTTTTTAATTTTTATTAGTGAAACACCATGAGGTACAGATTTGAACTTACAAGTTTTTGTGCTTGGGTCTCAGTTATACAATGATCAAGTACCCATCCCTCCACCAATGCCCATTCTCCACCACCAATGATCCCAGTATCCCTCCCAAGCCCCTATCCCTCCTCCTCCTGTCCCGCCTCTGTGGCAGGGCATTCCCTTTTGTTCTCTCTATCCTTTTGGGTGCTAAGGTTTGCAAAAGAGGCATTGAGTGGCAATCATGTTCAGTTTACTTTAGTCTACTTTCAGCATGCTTCTCCCATCCTGGGAGGATCCTGCCAACACCCTTTATTTGGTGCTCCCTTCTCTATCTGAGCTGCCTTTTCCCCTAGCATGTGCAGCTACCCTTAAAGCCATGGAGTGAACCTCCTGTTATTTATCTCCACTATTCTTGGATGTTAATCTCCTATTTTGTTACTTTAGATTCCCCAGATGAATGCAATCTTCCTATGTCTGTGCCTCTCTTTCTGACTCATTTTACTTAGCACAATACTTTCCATGTAGCACCACTTGTATGTAAATTTCATGACTTTATCTTTAAAATATGTAATTCTTAAAATTTTGAATATCATCTTGCTTAGGAGCCATGCTAATTGTCTCTGTATCACTTCAGTTTTACCACATATGCTGCAAAGTAATCACATTCTTAAGGTTATGAATATATCAAAAATTAATATCACAATAATCCAGACCTTCTCTTCTCTGGTAATGATGTTTGACTCAAATATAAAGTTCTTCCATGTGTGTCTTTAATATCAACATAAGAATAAGAAAAAATAGAAATTCTGGACAAAACATCCTTTAATTTACAAAGTATCCGAACATAAATGATCCTATTTCTAATGTTTAATGTTATAGTTTTTTAAGTGACTGGCTGTAAATAATATCAAAACAATAAACAAGGCAAGAAAAAAAAAAACTCTGATTTTTCTTTTAAAATATTTAAAACTGACAATAACTTGGAAATATCTTTGGATTTTATGGAATACTACATTTTCCTCATCACTATTTTCATCTTTCTTAGAACATAAAAAGAATGATTTTTCAATAACATGCATTGTATATGCCTATTATGTCTAATCCTTGCCCCATACCTTCCATCTGTCAGTTCTACCCTATAATCACTATTAGTATCATACAGAAGCCATTAAAAAGATGCAGGAAAGAAACAATCTAAAGGCAAACTTCAGAACATATTTTTATGGTACCCTTCTAGGCAGATAAAACCAACAAAATAAATAGACTTCAGAGAAACACACACATAGGAAAGATAAGAAATACTATGTTTTATAAACTTCTTACAGATAAAAGCAATCTCAACAGTGATATTGGACTTTTTGTAAATCACCAATTTTAGTACCCTTTCTACTCAGTTAACTAAGTACATTATATTTAAACTTATTTTAGTGACATGATACTTGTTTATAAAAATAAATGTCTATGCCTTTTAGCGATGCAATGTTAACACACCATATAACACACCATATCTACCACCAAAGTGTCAAATATTCCTTAGTTACCCAATAGTTTTTAGTGTCAGCTTCCCCATCCGTTCATAGATCAAAGAAAAATGAAAAACACATTTAACATTTGCCATAAGGTAGTTATAATTATTATGTAGCATAAAGGCATATTTATCCCTTGAAAAAAAAGAATGATGCTCCAAGTCTTAAATGAATAAAATGTGAGGGTTTTATAACAGGTAATAAAAAATATTACCAGGGTTATGGTGCTTAAACAGTTATCATCTCTAACTGTAACACAATTAGCTACAAAAAAGGTGGCAACATTTGTTTTTTTAAAGTTTCATTTAGTTTAATTCACTCAAGATGGGTTTAAAGCCATTTTACAGAACTGTGAGCAGAGCCAGTCAAGCAATAAAGCTATTCCTTGGAAATAAGTTGTTCAAATCTAAAAGCCCAGTTCAATCAGGCTACATTTATCAAGATAGAAAAAGATGGAATCTTTCAATGGTTCCAGTAAGGCTGGAGTCCTATGTTTTAGAAGATAAAATACACTCTGCACTCTGGCACTGCCTACCTATCCAGGACGATAATACCATGTTTTTCATCAAACCACTTCCCTGAGATACTCAATATTCTGTCCACACTAGTATACTCTACTTGTATTATCAAGTTTAGATTTCCAAAGTGCTGACTGCTGCTGTAGAGGAGAGATTTCATTTACAATTCAAGCCAATCACATCTAATCACAGTATGATTTCATGGAGGAAATTCACAATACAACACTATCAGCATAGAATTTGATTCCCAGTAAAAGTGTTGGCAGAGTTCAAATTACCGGTGAGAGTCTAGGGTTTGGCGCACGGGTAGAGCTTGTATCCAAAAAACTTCTTGTTTTGGTTCTGAAGAGAGGAAGATCACTTCTGTGAGCAAAACCACGGAGCAACTTTTGCCAAAACCTGGCTTAGAATAATGGGTATCAGTTCAGAAGGCATCTCAAACTTATTTTGGTACTTATATTTGTATCATATTTTGGAGGTATATTATAAGGACCACCTGTCATTTCTTTCATTTGGGGGGATCATAACTGAGAGGTGCTCAAGTCTTAGTCCTGGTTCTGTGCCCAGAGATTACTCCTAGTGCTACTTGAAAGAACTGTTATGTGGTTCTGGAGATTGAATTAGAGTGATACTCACGGAAAGCAAGAGCCTTATCCTTTGTACTATCTCTTCTGCCCTGAGCCATCTTTTAATTTTATTTTCTGTGAGACCTGCTCAGCACAGCTCAGGTTGTAACTGTTCTTGTTTTTATATGTATACTGAAAAGAGTTTTTGTAAACAGTGGTTGCTTTCAACTGATGACTTTATAGATATATTTCAATTGTCCTATTATTCCATCTGTTAGGATCATTACAATGGTAATAAACATAACAAATCCATCAGTCAAGATGATCTTAACATCAGTATCCCTTTCCTTACTCTTCTTGAAAAACTGGCTCCTTGAAAAAATCCTATGTCATCTTTCAGGCAGAAAATTCAATATTTACTTGTTATTATGACAGTACAGTCTGGTTTATATAAGTTTTAAAAGGTTTAGCCTTTGAAACAATGCAATATAAACCTAATATTTTCATTATCATAAAATATTTTATCAACTATCAAAGAAATGCATTGTCACTGTCATTATTTTTATTAATTTTAATCAGTATAAGAGATTCAAATTTAATTACAAATTCCTTTTATTGCATAATTCTTTTTAATTAGGTCATAATATAACATTAGTTTGTATTCACATTATTCTCAGAATAAATATGGCAAGTAAATACTCTTTGAAATTTAAAATATCTTCGATTGTATATTTATAAATACTTCAATTATCGCTGTTTGTTTGAGATTTACTTAGAAACTAAAATACAATGATGCTGTGGTGCTTCAAAATGAAATAAAATAATTTATTTATAACATTCGTATTATGAATAACATTCATAGTTATTTCCCACATATTAACATATAATCACACTTAATTTTTGCAAAACTATAACAACTATTGAAAGACTTTGTTGTTACTGTGTCTGGCATACCGAATACTCTCGGTAGCTTGCCGGGCTCTCCGAGAGGGGCGGAGGAATCGAACTCGGGTTGGCCATGTTGGCCGCGTGCAAGGCAAACGCCCTACCCACTGTGCTATTGCTCCAGCCCTGAAAGACAATAGTTTTTTTTTTTTAGGCCCATCAATGGCCAGGATCCAGAGGCTATATCATCAAGCTCCCGGAAAATAACAAGGCCAAGTCTCCTGCCCCCATGCTGGACTGCCCTCACCGGGGCCCCTTGGAGGAGGGTGGGTTGAGTTTCCCTCTCCGCCCTGAGCAGAGCCCTGGCAGCTGAAGACCTCCGAGAACCAGACAAAACCATGCTGAGACCACTTTCCACACACTTGGATGAGCCTCACGCAAGAAGAAACTGGCAAAGGAACCCAGGTGTGCAGGACCGGGGGCTGAGATCTCCAAGCCTGCTCATATCGGGACTGGGCCTCTTCCACCCAGATCCCCCACCTTCCAGTAGCTAAACAGTTACACCCACCAACTGCTGTGTAAACCCATCAACGGCTAGGATCCAGAGACTATACCACCAAGCTCCTGGAAGTGCGAGGCCGCATTTGCGGCTGTGCAACCTCTTATTCTCTAATTCTCGTTCTCAGAGAACCCAGCATGCTACTGAGAGTATCATGCTCGTATGTATACCAGACTGGGAACACCTGTAAAGGTGATTAGAGGCTTCCCCAAAAGCCTCCATCCCTCTAGGAGAGCCCAGCAAGCCACAGAGAGTATCTTGCCCACACGGCAGAGCCTGGCAAGCTCCCCGTGGCGTCCTCGATATGCCAAAAACAGTAACAATGATGGTCCTCATTCCCCTGACCCTGAAAGAGCCCCCAATATGTCATCAGGATACACTAGCACGTGACAGGGACAAATGAAGACGTTACTGGGCCTGCTCGAGCAAACCGATGAACAACAGGGTGATAGTGATAGTGATAGTGATAGTGATAGTGATAGTGACAGTGATAGTGATAGGTTTTTGGTACATATCTGACTATTTTCAGGGTTCATTCCTGGTTTTGTGCTGAAATGTACAGAAGATCTGGCCTAGTACTCAAGTATAGAAGATCTGGCCTAGACCATTTGTTTCACAAGGCAAACACCCTACTATTATACTATCTGTCTAGGCCCTACAGACAGTTTTAAGGTAGCTTAAAATTATCTCAAATTCTGAGTTATTCCAGCTCCAGCTCCAGTTCCAATGTGAAATGTGAAATCTCAGAGAGAGAGAGCATTTGGAGAACAGAAAATTCTCACTTATAGTGGGAAAAGTATATCACTGTATCACTGTCATCTTGTTGTTCATTGATTTGCTCGAGCAGGCACCAGTAACGTCTCCATTCATCCTAGCCCTGAGATTTTAGCAGCCTCTCTTTACTCGTCCTTCCCAACGGTGCCACATTGGAGGCTTTTTCAGGGTCAGAGGAATGAGACCCATCATTGTTACTGGGTTTTGCCATATCAAATACACCATGGGGAGCTTGCCAGGCTCTGCTGTGTGGACAGGATACTCTCGGTAGCCTGCCAGGTTCTCCAAGAGCTAGAACTAGACAATAAGAGGTCACATTGCTGCATTCCATGCGCTACCGTGAGCTTAGTTTTGTAGTCTCTGGATCTTGGCTGTTGATGTGATTACTCGGGGGGGATGGGGGAGCAGGGGGTGGCGCAGTAGGTGGGTGTAACTGCCTAGCTACTGGAAGATGGGGGATCTGAGTGGAGGAGGCCCATTCTGATCCTAGCAGGCTTGGAGATCTGGAGATCTCAGTCTCAGGTCCCGCACACCTGGATTACTCTTCCAGTTCCTTCATGCATGAGGCTCATCCTAGCATGTAGAGAGTGATCTTGAGAATGACTGTGGCTGGGTTCCGGAGGTCTTTTGCTGCCAGGGGTCTGCTCAGGGTGGGGAGAGAAACTCAACCTGCCACCCTCCAAGGGGCCCCAGCGAGGGCAGCCAGGCCCAGGGGCAGGAAACTCTGCCGGGAAAAGTATAAGTCCTAGAAAACCCTTAATGATTTCTATCAGGAATGTGGCCCATTTTCCTTCCTATAAGGAGTTCCTCATCTCATTAAAAGCCCCTTGCATAA